CTCAGTGTCATGCGCACAGCAGAGGACAATCAGCGGTGTCGGGCTGATGGGCGCGGAAAGCAGCACACCCTTTTGACATTGAAACCGTTAGGGTGTCGGCGGCAGCTTGTTAGCCGCAAAACCCTGTGCCGCGGTCTCCCCGCCCGGCTCTTCACAGCAGCGGCCCGGACGGTGGTGCCTGGGACAGCACCGTAATAGAAACGCCTCGAGAAAACACCATAAAAGCTCTCAACAGCTGTGCACTCACCTCACACGGCAGGTTAGAAAGAAAAGCTTCTGGAACCTGGATATGAAGGGGGGGGGGAGATAAAAGAGGAAAATCTCTGCTTTATCAATCGCAAAAATGCAATTTAATTCTGACAAGAATAAGCCGTCAACAGGTCATAGCAAAAAAGTAATTAGGAAAATATTTACTGCCTCTGCATCTGAAGAAGAAAAAAATAGTACCAACACCGAGCAAATATCACTTTACCCTGCAGAGCTCGGGATTCCACAGAGCTCCTCTGACACCATCTGCTCACCGGAGCAATGCAACAGCTGCAGCTGGCGGAGGCCTCCCTCCATCAGGCGTGGGTTTGCTCTCTCAGGGTTCCAGGTTCGTTTCTTCTGCTCAGGCATACAAAAACTGGAAGTAGTACCTCACAGCTGAACCCAACAGGCTGGTATCCCCCGGGGAATACCAGCTCTGGGATTTTAGGCCTGGAAGAAAGCCCTCGTGATGGCCTATTCTAATCTTCGATGCTCAGAATTTTCTTAACGCTTTTCAACATTGGCAGAAAACATTATCCCATTTTAAATCTGCAACAGGCAAAATTACATCATTTTTATTCCTGTAAGTAGCACGTACCAAGACTGACAAAACAGACTAAAAGCCAACAGTGTATATGACTTCCTGTTCCAAGATGTTGGCGATATCACCGTTGGCGATATCACCATTTGCACAGCGTGCTGAATATCGCAAGTATATTTATAAGATTTCACGTATGGTATCAAAATAGTCCGATACACAAATATACCAAACCACCTAGTAACATGCTGAATTATACCAGTTACTTCCAATATTTATTTTTCAACTGGTATAGAGTAACATTTATGTACTTAGGAGACAAAACCATCAGGAGTAAACAGAATATAATTTTTCAGTCTGGATTTGGAATGATTACTGGAGCTACAGCTCATGAAAAATTGGAATGAAACTCAAAATGCTTCCGGTGGGCCAAGTCCCGTTTCTACATCTCATCCAAAAACCCCACTGCATCACCTAAACCGGCGTTACCTCTGAAGAAACACATCCCATACATCTGCCAGACTACAAACAATACTTCCTTCAGCAAGATACAAAGTCATTATGTTACAACGACATACAAAAAAGCCATTCATTCCAGTTACGCTGCAGCCTGTTGCTCAGTAAGCAGCGAGTGATGCAGTACATAATCAGCTGCAACACACGGCTGCAAAGAAATTTATTTTCATGTTTCAAGAAAATGTTGTAGCTCTGGTTTACTTTTTCGTTCGAGGATGCCTTCATTAGGAGTTTTAAATGGGAGTTTACAAAATGGTTCCCACAGTTTGCTTTGGGGGTCATAGTGAGATTATTAATCATTATTTTTATCACTAAATCAGGTTTTGATAAGAAATGTCAGCAAAGCTATTTTAACACGGCATTAGATACCTTTATCACAGGAGATTAGGCTAGAACATTATTACCTGAAATGAGAAAGCATGTTACCATTTAGTAAAAAGAAAGTATATCACATAGGTACAATGTTTCAATTGCATCTTATCACTAGTTTAACAGAGCTGTAGTCCAGCAGGTTACACCGATGTTTTACGTGAAATAAAAATTAAGTTGCAACAGAAGTTTGACAATTTTACATCATAGGTAAGCTCATTAAGATAGATAACATTAAGAAAAATTGTTCAAGTCTTATAATGCAGGAGCAAGCTATACTATGTCTGAATACACAGCATTCATTTTTATATATAAGTGAGCAAAACCAAAACGGTACACATCAGTTGATTTCCTTGCACTATTTTTTAAAACATAGGCCTGAGTACTGAACAGTGATCCAGAGCACAACTCGGCAAAACTTATCCTCCCAACAAAGAGAAGGGCAGAGAAGTTTCTGCAGTACTGAAGTTCTTGTGTAGATCCCAGCGGGGAGACTCAGAGGATATGCAATAGGTACGCTCGGCCAAGGACGTCCATATCTGACCAGTGATCCAGGCTCCACAGCAAGGTATGTGGGGGTGAAGCAGGCGAATATTGCCAAACAGCTCTTACTAGGTAGCCCGAGGAAAGAAAAAACCCAACACCCCCACGTAAAGTAAAACCTCCAGATTCGTTAATCCTTTAGGAAGAGAAAATGAATTTTCCAGGAGTCCCTAAAAACATTCCACGTATTACAGGATTAGTGAAACACACTGCAAGCATAACTTCCCAGATACCAGGACGAGTTCATTATCCTTCAGCACCTTATTTGTTGTCTGGGAACGCTTCTGTTTCACGGGTAAGTCTCTGACTATTTGAATAACTGCGACGCAGGAAAGAAACGTAAAGAAAACCAGGCAACAGAAATACTGACAGAGAAGATTTAATATTAGTTTTACATTTGACAAAGCCGAAACCTTAGCACCTGGGAGTCAGCCACAAGAGGCAGGAGACGACCACAACCACTACCACCCCCTCCCGCACCCGAAGTCTCTCCGGGGCCTCCCGGAAA